TCCACACCGCACCCACCACACAGGCACCCACAGTCCCCCAGCACAGACCGCTGGCACCCTCCCCAATTCTCCTATATCCCCTTCTCTCCCCTCCATTCCCTTGTCCCTCCTAATAGCCTCAATTTCATAGTCAGATTTCTAGGTTTTGTTTGGTTTTGTTTTGTCTGCCCTTTTTTTTGTTTCTTTATATTCTACATGAGTGAAACCATCCAGTATTTGTCTCTCTCTTTCTGACTTACTTTGCTTAGCATAATCCTCGCCAGGTCCATCCATGTCATTGCAAATGGCAGGATTTCATCTTATTTTTGTAGCTGAGTCATGGTAGATTGTTTTTATGCACCACATCTCTTTCATCCACCCGCTGTCATTGGGCACTTAGGTTGTTTCCATAACTTGACTGTGTAAACAGTGCGGCAGTGAACACAGAGGGCCTGTATCCCTTGGAATTAGTGTTTTTGCATCCTTTAAGTAGACACTGAGGAATGGAATCGTTGGGTCATATGGCAGATCTATGTTTAATATTTTGAGATGCTTCCATGTCTTTCCATAGGGGCTGGACACACCCAGTGTACCAGGGTCCCAACACTAGTTGTTTGGTGCCTTTTGTCTCTGGCCTTTATATACACTTAAAAAGAAATCTATTAACAAAATATTTCAGGTTGACAAAATATTTAAAGAATGTTGTAGGTACCATCATGCCTAAGAAATAAAATTATTACCATAAATAAATCTTATAGTTAAATCTCCCATGTGAGTTTCTCTTCCAAAGTAACTTCTGCTCTGGGTGTGTTTCTGGAGTACAGACTGGGCCTATCTGTGCTGCTGGAGTATAGGCAGGCCATAGGTATTCCTGTTCACACAACCTGACTCAGATGCATTCTCTGTGGGCATTGCCAAGTCCCACCCTCAAGAGGGCCAAAATCTAGAACAGAGGGAAGGTCCGCAGTTCCTAGAATGCACTGAGGGATTTGGTCATTCCCAAGAGGCTACACTTATCAGACCCTAAACTTTGTCACAGCCTGAGTCTATGCCTATTCCTCCCATTTTACCAATAGCAAACTGAATTTCAAAGGGCTCAGTTTTCTGTTGGTATAAATAAACGATTCTACCACTTAGTGGCTTAAAAACAACCATTCTTTGCCCCCAAGTCTGCATTTTGGGTAGGGCTCATCTCTGTTCCTTGTGGTGTCTGCTGGAGCAGATCCATTCGTGCATTTAAGATGGTCTCTGTTGATGGTTATATGGCCAGGGATAGGGGTTGCTGGCTGGGCCTTGATCTCCAACTGAGGTGGGGGATGTATGGAATTACACTCTTCACATGATGTTCCAAAACTCCTGGGGAGCAGAGGTGAAGACTGGCACAGTCACAGCATCATTTCCACTGTACTCTGCGGTCAAAGCAAGACACAGGGCTAATGCAGGGGGGAGCAGGGAAAACAGACGCCATATTTTAATTGAAGAAGCAGTCAGCAGTCAATTAGCCCCACTCAGGGTTGTACATCCTGATGGCTGAGGGGTCTCTGAGGCAGTAAGTCAGGTGTGAGCCAAAGTAAGCTCCACTCCCCATGTTCCCTGCCTTTCTTCCAGCCTCTTGCACATGCTGTATGATCAGCTGGAGACCCTGCTCCATCCTTCACTTCACAGATTGGCCTAACTTCCACTCCCCTGTCCTTTACAGGGAAGTCTTTCTAGAGCTCTAAAGCACTCCTTTGGATTCTCAGAGCAGCCTCTACTTCCCAGGTCACACTGCCTGCAATGCACCCACCTCTCCAGTTAAGAGGCAAGTTTGTATCTCAACATTCAGCGCCATGCCAGGCACCTGACAGGTGCACGGGGAGTATTTGTCTGGTGAAGGAATCCAGTGAAGTAAGTGTTCTCTCCACCTCCACACCCCTTAAATGCTGTGCCTGTCATCCATCCCGAGACTCAGCTGGATGTTCAGCATGTTTATTAGGAAGTTCTGAGATTGACACCTGCACAAAGAATGGGAAAGAAGCAGGGGTGGCTGCTGACTGGCCCCACAGGGAATCCATTGGGAGGTGGACAGAGGATTACACTCTTGCCCTGATGGTCTTTGGGATGTGGACCGTGCAACAAGAGTGTGAGCTTGTGCCAGGTGGCTGTCTGCAGCAGACAGTGTCTGAGAAGACTGATGGCCGAGGGGTTTCTGCTCACAACACTCCTTGCGGCTAACGTAGTAAGTTCTTTCTTGAAGGGGGATCAGAGGGACACACTTTATTTTCCTCACAGGACAGAAAAGCAGTGGGTCCTGGCAGTCCCTGAGAGTTGTTCAGAAAAAAGTGGTTTTCCAGCTGTGACCTGGGTTGGAGGGAGGCAAGTTGGGAGAGCAGAGTGAAGGGAGGGTGGACACATTCATGCTTGAGGGAGCTCGGAGGTCCAGGCCTGGGCACTGTGGGACTTGACTCCATTTAATTACCACTAGGGACAGAAAACCCAGCCCTCAGTGCCAGGCACTGTGACATATGGGTGGGGGTCTGAATAAGGCCTAAGTGTGGGTCATGGCTATGTGACTTTCACTCCCTCTTGACTGACTGCCCCCTCCTATGACCCACTGTCCACACTACTTCCAGACTGAGCTTTCCAAAATCACATATGTAGCTCTTTGCCAAGGACTGCCAGCCCCTCAATGGCCTGCCCTACCCACTTCTCTCGCCTCATCGCCTAAGGTCTCCCCTGGGTCACCCAGCCCCCTGTCATGCCAAAGACATGCCTCAGTGCCTTGGCAATTACTATTGCCCTGCCTGGAACCACTTTACTTACAGATGTTTTCTCTGCCTTGCTAAGGCCCCAGCTCAATGTCACCTCCTCCAGGAAGTCCTCTCTAATTATCCACTTGATGAATTGCTTTTTTTTCATTTATTGAGTCCTTACTATGTTCCAGGCACTTTTCTAGGCAGTGGAAGATAACACAGTGGGTTAAAAAGTACAGGCAGGCATTGCTGCCTTGTACATACTAGTGGGAAAAATAACCGGTGCACAATTAAATAGAAAAATACTGGCTTCCAGTGACCCCCTGTTGTCCACAGATGCTGCAGTTGCCATCAGCCGTAGGACATCACCGTCACCAGAAGAACTGGTTTAGGGGCGATACCAAGAGGACCGAGGAGAAGGCAGAAGAACAACACAGTGAGGAGCGGGACAAGATTCGTCAGAAACTCTGATGGAGATGTTTCCAGGAAGGGGCCCTGAGCTGCTGGAGCATTCTTAATACATCTTTCTTTGGGACTCAAAACATGCACGCATTTTCCAGGGCTTGCGAATTGGGACCTTTTCTTTAGCATCCTGGCTCTTCCCGCTGTCTTCGAGGCGGAGAAGTTGTAAGTGGAGTCCCAGTAGCGGCTGCAGCAGCTTAAAGCCGGCGGGGGGAACGCCCCGGCTCTGCCTTCCCTTCCTGGGAAGATCTAGTTTGCGGCTGCGTATTTGACTGGTCTTGGTGGGAGAAGTTTGCAAAGTCAGTAGTGTTGGAACTACTGATTATTTGGATGATTTATTTATTTATTTTTAACTTGGGCACGCTCCTTCTCCCCACACTGTCTCCAGGAGAGACTCCCAACGCGCAACAACGATGCGCTTGACGCCGCGCGGGCTGCTCCTGCGCTCGCCCGGACACCGCGCGCGCGGTGACCCCGCTCGGCTCACCCCACCTCTCCCTCTCACCCTCGCGGGAGGCTTTTCTCACGGTCTGCTGTCCCGTGGTGGGGCAGGGATGGATGTCACAGCAGCAAGGATGTAACCCTGACCAATAACGACTGTTTTGTTTTTAAGAATGGATGGAGCTGGAAGGGATCATGCTCAGCGAAATAAGCCAGAAAGAAAAAGGAAAATACCGGATGGTCTCACTCATAGCAGGAATCTAGAAAACTTAAATAAGGGATCAGGAAAAAGAATAACTATAAGAAAGAAAATATCAAAATCAACAAACAACTATGAACCAGAGACACACTATGGGGGTTGGGGCCCGGGGAAAGGAGGGTTAGGGGTCAAAATAAGGGGGTTGCAATTGTATGGGGAATGTAAAAATAAAATAAAATAAAAAGAATGAAGTTGGGGAGGAACAGGCACAATAGGAAATACAAAACGCATATGAAGCTGCTGCAGAGAATTTCCTTTTTTTTCCCTTTTTTTTTTTAATAATACACAAGCTTTATTTTAGAAGGAAAATTGTATATATATTTATGGTAGTTGCTTCTTGAATATATCAAAATATCTAAAATAATTGTATATGTCTTACCCTTCCTGTTACTATCTTATATACTGCTTTCAGAAGTTCTGCATTCTTTTCCCTCAATATAATCTCAGTGATGTCTCTCACCACCGAACCCAAGCTGCATATACTCCAGTTTAAATAATTAGTACTTGGATGGGAGAATTTCTGCCCATGTTGGAAGGAGGGGGAGTCAGCAGCAGCTTCCAGCACAAGAGCAGGACTGTGGAGCACGGCGGGAGCGCACTCCCTCTGCACACTTTGGCTACTAGACCTGTGTGTGTCTACAAGAAAAAAACTCAGTGCTCACTTGTTGCATTTAAACATTAAACACGATTCCAGCTGGGGGAAAAACACCACACTTCCGAGCGTGAAAGGCGCGCCGAGCGGAGCCAGAGCCAGGTGAGGGGCGCAGCGTGCGGCCAGGCCCTGACAGCTCGGCTCGGCGCCGCTCCCCAACCTCGACGCGCCCGGGGTGCAGGCTGGAAAGGAGGCGCGGGGCGGCGTGACGGCGGCGGGGCCACCTGAGCCCCACCCTGGGGCGGGGCTCAGCCGCCCTCGGGCGCCCCAGGGGCGCGCTCGCTGCCGGGAGAGGCGCCGGGGCGAGCCCGCCAGGTGCGGCCGCGCGGCCGCGGGCCCCTCCCCGGGGCGGGTCCGGTCGGGGCGCCGCCCCCCAGGCCGTCCTTAAATGCGCCGGGCGGGGCCCCGCGAGCGCGGAGCGCGGCTTCGGTGGCGGCGGAGGGTCCGCGCTCGGCGTCCTGCTGGTGCGCGGCGTCCTGCTGGTGCGCGCCGCGGTCGGGGCGGGCTCGAGCTCCAGCCATGCTGTTCTGGCACACGCAGCCGGAGCACTACAACCAGCACAGCTCGGGCAGCTACCTGCGGTAAGGCCGCGCCGCCCCCCGCCCCGCGCGCCCCCGCGCCCCCCCGGGCCGGGGTCGCGGGCGAGGCGCTGTCTGCCGGCGGGCGGGGCGGGCGCGGCGCGGAGCTGCGGGGCCCCGGGCCCGCGCGCCCTCGTCTCCTGGCCGCCTGGCGTTCGGGGGTGTGAGATCGAGTCCCGCCCTGAATGCCTCTTGGGGACTGAGGATGCCCCGCGGAGGGTCCCGGCGCGCGCGGAGTTGGGGGCCCTCCGGGCAGACCCCGCGGGGCTCCTCCCCGACCCCCGCGCGGGCGCAGGCGGTCCTGCCGATCGCGCCCCGCCGGGCTCCTCACCCCCGAGGCCTCCCCTCCCCGGACTCGTGTCGGAGCGGAGGAAAGTTCTGTCATCCGGCCAGTGCCTGCCCCGGGAAGTCTGGTCCTGCTCTTTGCCCCTGTCCGCCCCGGTCCCTCTCCGAGCTTCGCGCCCTCGCGGGTGTCCTTGGAGCAGCCGAGGGGCGAGCGGGCGGCGGGCGCGCACCTGCGCCCCTGCCGGGCGGGCGGGCCCGCGGGGTGCCGGGCGGAGGCTGGGGGGCGGGCGGCCCTCCTGCCCGGTGGTCGTCTGTGCTTGGGCCTGAGGCCGCACATTTATTGCCCTTGATGGACGTCTTTCTTCTTCTGCAGGGATTTGACTAGTGCTCTTCAAAGGGAAAAGTAAGTTTTGACTCTTTTGCAAAGTCCCCTCCCGTCTCCTTTAAGAAAGCAGGACCCCCATTTGCCTCAGTTCCTGGAGGATTATTTTCCCAGTTCTGCAGCTAGCCGGGTACTAATGGGCAGTCTCTTCACTTTCTGAACTCGCCTGAACCAGCTTTAGCCTGTCTTTATTTCCATCCTAGTCACAGTTTATGAAATGTGTCTAATTTAACCCAAAGGGCATTTGGTATGGGCTCAGAGAAAGTGAATTGTGAGCCCAAGGGAGTCGCTGGCAGTGGCAGCTCCAAAGTGAGAGTCGCTCTGAGTGCTTTTTGGGGAGGGGAGGCGAGAAGTTCCCACTGAGATTTAATAGTACAAGTTATTTGTTGAATCCTCACTCTGATAGACGATTATTTGTCCAATGGTTCTCCCTAAAGACATCCCCCTTCCAGAAGGCAAAGGAATGATTAGGTTTAACAGATGTGCCTGCTGTTTTTTATTCTTGGGCCAGAATAGTAGGAGATGGTATAATTAAGGACTGATCGCTTCCCCGCAGGCCGCGGTGATGTCAAGGGAGGGAAGCTGCCCTGGAGATGTGGGAAGCCCACTGGGCAGATGTTAATCCTCTGCGGAAGATTGTGTCCATTCATTTACACAAAACGCTACAGATACCTTTTTATTGTTCCGTGTATTGCAGTTTCAGTTGTTTGTCTAGATTTCAGTTTGTGACCATTAAACTTGTTGCCATATCTTAAAAGTGAGTTTGAAGGTGACCCTGAGTGGAGAGCGAATGTATTTAAAACTTCCTGGAAACCTAAAATGTCATCCAATTAAGAAATAATTCTCCCCTTATATGGGAGGTGTCTGTTACCGATAACATTTGTCAGTGGAATACATCAGGTATCTTTTAGGATACTGGCATTGCAGTAAGGGAGGGAGAGGTGGGCTATCAGTCCTTAATTATACCATCTCCTACTATTTTGACCCAAGAATAAAAAACAGCAGGCACATCTGGGGTGAAAGGTACCTTAAAGCCATACTGGATTCTGGGATTATTTTGGGACCATGGATAATGTGACCATGCCCTTTTTTTTTAACAGAAGTAACAGGTTTACATCCCTGTATATGTTTCGGGAGTAGAGGTTCATGTGTTGTTTTTTTTTCCTTTAAATTTCACTTTTTAGAAGCTGTGGTTTTCAACCTTGAAGAGGTTGACCTCAGTGAAGGCCAAGGTTGGGAGTGGCTTATACCCCAGGTTTCCCAGCTCTAGAGTAAGGGTCCTGTCCTTTTCCTTGTTTTTTTTTTTTTTTTTTTTTTTTTTTTTAATAGAGGCATGTTATTTATTTATTTATTTATTTTGTTTGTTTGCTTTGTTTATACATGCACTGGGGACAGTCAGAGGTGTGGGGGATGAGAGAATTCACCAGAGCCAGAGCGGGGAGCAGAGCAGGCAGAAGGACCGAAGTACACTGCTGAGGGGAGCAGCGGGCGGCAGGAGAGGTCTGCGCCCCATGTGGGACCCTCCTCTGGTGGCCAGGGAGCAGCCGGGGATTGAACCGGTGCTGCAGCCGCGGGCAGCTTTGCAACCCAGCGCTCAACCGGTGCGCCACCTGGGAGGCCCCTTTTCCTTGGTTTTTATATTTTATTTTTGGATGTCTCCTCCCTTTGCTGAACTTCTGCAAGTTGCCTGACCTCACCAGGGTGGTGGCTTTTACACGCTTCTTCCCTTTTTCTGTTTGATGTTCTCGTGACTTTTATTCCTTGGCAAATAAGGATGACAGGCTTGAAACAAATTACTGTTGAGTGATGGCTCTCCTCCCCCCACCCCTTTTTTTAAATTTAAAAGCAGCAGCCCATGGATTATTAACTTAACATGGTCTGGGCAAACATGGAATTATGCAATCCCAGGTGAGCAGGCCTACCTGCTTCTCCCATGTTCCTCGATAACCACTTGGGTTGGGAATGCCCCAGTTTGGTGAAAGGAAGTCAGGATGTGTGCCTCTTGGGGTGGGGGGCAAGACAGCTCTGCCCTCTCATCTTTGGGCAGTGATGGGGGTGCCCCCACCTGGAGGTTTTCCAGGTGTTCTCCACCGCTGGTTTTTCCTTCTGAGAATTGGTTAGACTTTGTTGGGGTGTGTGCTGGGTTTGTGTTTTAGAGACACTCATTTATTGTGTTGTGCAAGGAACAGACTGTACCATTGGACGGCTGTTTATTCAGTGAAGTAGGGTTAGTGAATCTGATTCATAACCTAGGACACATGGAGGGCGGAGAGTTATCAAGATAAGGATTCTGGCACTTTTGGGCACCTGTTTCCTTGCTGCTCATAATGTAAAGATCTTAAACAACTTTCAGATCATTCATGTTCTCTAGGATTTTTTTTCCCTTGCTAGGATATTTAAAAAATACTAGAAATAAGTTCTCTAGTCATAGGCTGAATTTTTTCTTTTTTTTTTTATATGGCAGGCAATTTTGTTTTGAGGTGGAAGAAAAGAATCTTTAAGCATCTCAGTATTTTCCATTTGGATAAGATTTAAAAGTTTTTGCATTTAGGACGCAATTGTATGACTCTTTAAAAAAAAACTAAAAATAGGGGCTATGAGTCAGTTTTTTTTTTTTTTTAGAGGGGGCAGGAGAATGTTTCAGCCATTGAATGTAGCACTTTCTGCATTTGCATAGTTTGCAGAAGAACCCCAAGGGCAGGCTCTACTGATCTGACAAGTAGCCAATAAATAGAAGTCTATTTAAAAATTGAAATTTTTGGTTCAGATTCATACTCTAAAAATAAGACTTTCTACTGTACAATCTCCCCAGTATGAAAACCATGAGCTAGGTCCTCCATTGCTGCTAGTTTGGTCCTTTTATCACAGGGAAACGTTTTGTAATCACAGATATTAGGTAACTGCACTTCTCACTCCTTGATGGTTTGATTGACTAAACCTCTTGAGGGCCATTGAATGAAACTAGTGCCACCGAGGATTGGTTCCTCTCTTTGGAAGCATCTGCCAGTGTGAAATGAGTATGAGAAACTACCCTGTAGAAGCTCTGCCCTTGCCTTTGGCCGTGTAGGCTGGTGGCTTAAGTCTGCACTCCACTCTCCCATTAGACTCTGTCTTTGTGATCCTGCTCCTAGGACGCCGCTCCTGACTGATTCCTCCTGTGTATTGCAGTGATGTGCTCGCTCTGCCCATCTTCAAGCAGGAGGAACCCCAGTTGTCTCCTGAGAACGAGGCCCGCCTGCCTCCTCTGCAGTATGTGCTGTGTGCCGCCACTTCCCCAGCTGTGAAGCTGCATGAGGAGACACTGACCTACCTCAACCAAGGTAGTGGCTGGAACACGGGGCCTGGGGAGCCTGCGGGCTGCCAGAGGGAGCCGGGAGCTGACCCGAACCAATTAAGGCCTTTTTATCTTGTCATAGAGGGAATGGTGAGGTTGGGGAAGGAGGCTGTGGTGTCACATAATCTGTATCTTAGCTGGGAGACTTCTCTGAGCTTCATTTTGTATCTGAAACATACCATATCAACTGTGTTGTTATTAGGGCCGTGCATGGGTAACAGGAATGTTCCTGCGGGAGCGTCAAGGAGCAGTTTGTTCAGTGACTGGTAGCCACTGTTGTAGGTAACACTTAACTGTGGCCATGACTGGTGTCCTTCCTGGACCCAGGTGGAGCACTTTTGGTATACTAGGTCTGTTGTCCTTTTTGGATGTATGGCTGGCAGTAGTGGGAAGACCGGTCCTGTTTTCTGAACACAGCACAAGGGCTGGATTCCATATGTGCCAGACAATCCTTTGTGATGACGGGGCCTTATCCTTAGAGGAATGGCATGGGCTTCGGAGTTTGAGTCCCCACTCCGACATTTCCTAGCTCTGTGACTTTGAGCTGCCTTTTCTTTTTCTGTAAGCCTCAGTGTTTTCCTGTGTAAAACGAGCAGTGTAATTTTGTAATGTTGGAAAGAATGCAGGTGTGTGAGGTGGCTGGTATGATAATGGCTGTTCAAGTGCTGATTCCATTTATCGAGCCACGTGGATCAGTGTCCCCAGGGATGTTGTTTTTGTGGTCTGTGACTGTTTATTGCACTTCCTTCCTGAGTTACCTTGTAGACACCTCCCCCATCAAGTGGATTAAGTGCCCCTCTAATTTGAGGGAGACTGGAAGGGATGTGCAGTGGTTTCTGGAGGCTTGTGCTAGATCACTGGGGAGCAGCCTGTGGTCATGGTTTGTCTGATGCGGCCTGCCTCTTTTCTGGACAACTTTAACTCAATTTGGGGAGCCAGCGGGGGTGCAAATCCCACCTGATCATCAAGTTTTCCTCTGACTGTTGAGCTTGCCAGCTCCTGCACCAGGGACTCCACTTATGCCTCTGGATGGAAACTGCTCCTCTTATGTGTTGATGTGGGGAGCCCAGTGGAAGTGCATGCTCAGTTCTGTGGGTCACTTTGTGTCTAGGCTGATCCTCAAGCCAAACTCAGTCAGCTGTAGGGTGCCTGACCTGGGCGGGTGGGCACTGGCGATGGGCAAATATCCGAGCATGCTTCCGAGCACAGCACCCTGGCTGAATTTGTGGAAAGGCTCAGCCATTTTCCTTTCTTGTTCATGGAAGGTCGAATGCTACTAACTTGTGTAGCTGGGAGTGGTTGCTTTCCTCTCTGGGAGTCAATGTAGCAGGAAGAAACTGGATGATGTTTCCAGTGTTGTTCTTGGCCCACCCCATTCATGAGGAATGAGTGGTCTGCAGGCCTGAGGCTTGGCCAGGACTGCCCCTGCCCCCATATGGGAGGCCCTTGACTTCCTTCCCTACCTGCCCTGCCCCCCTCCTCCCTGTTAATTTATCAACTGTGGACCATGTTTGGCTGTCAACAAAGTAGGTCTTTAAAAAAAAAGATTTATCCTTTGCCCAATATAGATAAGTTAAAGACAGGGGAAAAGGTTGCCCCAAGCGCTTACCATCCCTGTTATTTTGGTGTGTTTACTTCAGGGACTTTTAAAATTACATTTTCCTGATTACGAAGTTAATACATATAATTATAGAGATTATGGATCATCTAGAAAACTATAATGAAGGAAATAAAAGAAAAATAAAATTGAATTGTCCTCTATTTTCACCCGAGAACCATTGCCAACCTTATTTCTACATATTGTGTGTATGTTTTAAAATTAGGATTGTGCTATAGACGTTACCTGTTGTCTTCATGTATTCTGTTTGTGATCTTTTCACATGTCATTAAAAATCTTTTGAGAACTTAAATTTCTGTAATGATTTCATTGTTCTGTTTCTTCACCCAGTTTCATTGTTTGGGTGCTTAGTTTTCAGTTGTTGTCTTTGTGTGAACTGTTGATTATTTTTAGATAAATAGCTTAGAAGTAGAATTACTGGATCAAAGGGGTTGAATAAGACTTGATATATTTTACTAAATTGCCTTTTCAATTTGCATGTTAGCTAGCAGAGTATATCAATTTGAATGTTAGCTAGCAGAGTACTTTTTACTGTCTCTTTTCTAATATTGGCTATTATCATTTTTCATCTGATTAGGAAATAATGGGATTTAATTTTAAACTAACATTTCTATTGTTAATGGGGTTGAATATTTTGAAATATATTGATCTTTTTAATTTTTCCCTTGTGTTGACATGCTTTGCACATTTTCTATTTGAATGTTTATATCTTATTGGTTCCAAGAGTAGAATATAGGTGAAGAGTATCAGCCTTGTAGCTGCCATGCATTACAAATATTTCCCCCTGTTGGTTGCTGGCTATTTAGCCATATTTTATTGTGTGACAGCTCTATTTATGGAATGAGATCTATATTATGATTTTTTTATTATGTAGAAATTTATTTTAAATGTCTGTTGTTAAATCTTTGTCTTTTAAAATGCACCTTAAAATTTTACGCTTAGAATGTCTACTTACCCCAAAATCAGCTTAATTTTCTAAATTTCATTTATGGATTTCTAAATTTTAACACTAAAATGGATTTTTTTTTTTTTTTGAAATCAGTAGAAACTCATTTCATTATATCATTATAAAATTATATAATTTTATAAAATACTATAATTATAATATTTTGCATTATTGCTACATGAAATATATGTATTCCTCCCTGCCCCTAGCTTTACCAGTGAGATTTATACTGTTATATATTGCATTTGGAACTTATGATGTGATATGAAGGTCTAAATTTGTGTAATTTCCTAAATTAGTTACTGCCTAGCTTATCCTTTTCATATTTGTATAAAATGACACTTTTAAAATGTTAAAAAATATTCTATAATATTAGCCCTGAAACAGATCCTTGTGTTGATTTTTGTCCCGTACCCTGGAAAATAATTTTTTCTTGTCCCATTATTGTTGTAGCTTGGAAATATATGAATATTTCCCTGTTTGGGAATAGAAGTTCCTTTCATCATTCTCCTTAACCATTCTCATTTATTCTGTTTTTTTTTGTAAAAAGATTTATTTGTTTATGCATACAAGAGCTGGGGTATAGGCCTGAGGTAGGGGGTTGCTGGCCTGAGAGGATTCACCAGAGACAGAGTGGGGAACAGAACAGGAAAACTGACTGAAATACACTGCTGAGGGGAGCAGCAGGTGAGACAGGAGAGGTCTGCTGCACTGTGTGGGTCAGCTCCGGGGGCCAGAGATTGAACTCATGCCTCAGTGGCTGGCGATAGCTTCATAGTGTGGAGACTTAACCCCTTGTACCCCCAGGGAGGCTCCATTGTCATTCATTCTTACAGATGGATTTTACAGGCATTATGTCTTTCTTTCCTACCTTTTAAAAAACATTGATGAGATCATATGCTTTATAAAATTGTTTCTTACTTTTATTAAGTACTATTTGTGTAATAACTTTCTATTATTAAAGCCTCCCAAACATCATGTAAATGTCTGAATGTTATTTTATTATTTCTATTTCTTCATATTATTTAAGTCAGAATATTCTCATAACTACTTGGAGAAAATTTCCAATGGAATTATTTTAGTGTCTGTATTTTTAACATTGTATATTTAGCATTCAGCTTGGTTCCTTGATAGTAGGCACTCCATTCAGAAAATTTAAAAAATAGACAATTTATTTCCATTTTATTTTTCTACTCATCCCTCTCTCCTGCATCCTTTTGTACATTAATGCTGTTATACTGGATGACAGCATGCCTATTTAATATAGCCTATACTTATGTCATATGACAAATCAGTATAGATTAGATTCAGTTAAAAAAATTGGTTTCGACACATCAGTCAAAACCTTTTCAGATAATGTTTACTGCATTGGATTTATGTTTACTGTACTATTTCTGAGGCCATCTCATATCTTTTCTGTAATGACTTGTGTCATGTCTGAAACATGGGAGGTGTGCTGCACCTATAAATCAAGAAGCCACTTAAACTGTTTGGATCCTCATTATCCAAGTGCGGTGTTAAATCATGCTTTGGAGATCCTGTACCTTGGATAAGGTGGGTTACATATATGTGTCCTATCACTGAGTCCGGTGGTTGATTTTGGATGTGGTAAAAATGACCCGAAGAACAAAATATATTCTTTTCCTCCAAAATGGAGTTCTGAAGGAGAGAGGTGGATAGCTCTTGAGTAGAGGTCTGCAAATTAACAGATCCACCTCTTTGTGGGCAAAGGTCATGCTTTAGGAAGATCTTTCCTGTAGGTTGGAGCCACAGGGAAGGGATGAAGTGGTTTGTGGGGGAGGGGTCTGAGAGAACAGAGGAGAGAACCCCAGGCAATGTGTTGGAAATTCTGCTTTGAGATACCAAACAACTTTGCAAGAGTGACTTGTTATGGAGAAAGCTTTGGTATTTCCTGCCAAAGCAACTCTTGAATCTTAAACAAAGGAATGGATTTTTACAGGATTCTTACTTGGATTCATAACAGAATAAAACCATCTTATCCATTGGAAGGAGAGGTTCAGTAAGTAGAGAGAAAAGTCGAGTAAATGACTGGGAAAAGAATGGAGTAAGGGGGAGGGGCAGTGCAGTTTAAGCATAACGTCTATCCTCAAACTGAAGTGGTTCAGGATGACTAGGGTTTGGAACACCATTATGAATGGTGTGAATGATTTGGCTGGAGAGGTAGACCAGATGGCTAAGATCTTCAGCTACTTTGCTGAGGCTGGACCATGGGGCAGCCACTTAGGCAACTCATTTAGCCTCTAATTCCTCATCTGTAAGATGGAGAAAATAAAAATTCCTACAAGTAGGTGGATAAAAGGAGTTAATTGATATAGAACACTGAAAACAGTGTTCTGAAAGTGAAAACCAGCACATAAGAAATCATATTAGCCAGTAATAATAAAGTGGACACATGCTTCCT